GGTGACATAGCTGATGAAAACGAGAAAGGGAGGAAAATAGAGGAATATCATTATCTGTTCTATGTTAATCAATGATGCTATCTTTTATAAATTTGATTATTTTTAGTGCTATGTTCCGGTATTTTTCAATCGGCTGGCATCATCAGAGCCCTTTTGGACCAAATTCAATATCAAAGAATTGACTTGAAAAATGTCCTATCTTATTCAAAAATAAATGTGTATTGTTATTTGAAAGGAATTTCTTAGTTTTTATTTTAAATTCGATTAGGGTTCGACTTTTCCGGATATAACCTGGAAGAGAATTCCAGATAGTCGCATATCTTATGGTGTAGAAATTTGATCGTTGGGACTTTGTGAATTTGGGAATCTTTATAATATCCTCGCTATTTCTGGTGTTTCTAGGGGCGTTTTGGTTGGTAAGTAAATTCATTTTGAGAATATCTTGATCGTGGGTGACCTTGAATAGGAAGTTTAGACCATTTTGAAGTCTTCTGATCCAGAGTGGTCGAAGACCGTATTTATGATATAGTTCTAAGTATGAACCCTGGATGCCATCACTTCTAGACAAAGATCTAGTAAACCGTCTCTGAATGCCTTCTAGTTTCTTTCGGCCGTCTGAGGGCATTATGCCGAAGAAAATTGAACAGTAATCTAGGAGAGGTAAAACATACATTTTGAACAGTTGTATTCTTAGTGCATTTAAGGTGAAATTTTTACATATGAATCCACACAGGCGAGTGGCTTTCGGTGATATTTGTTGGACGTGGGGAGATAAATCAAGGGTATTTGTATAGCTGAGACCTAAATCTTTTACAGATTGGGTCTCTGTTATTTCATCATCCTCGAATATTATGGGGGGAAGTTTTGTGGTCCAAATATCAGGAGATGGCATTTTTCGGGTGAAAAGGGCATCTGCCACTGACTACTCCATTCGCTGAGTTTTCTGAGATCAGTTTGAATTGTTCTATGAATATTGGCTACTGTATTCCCGTTATATGCATATGCAATTTTAAGGTCGTCCGCATATAAAAACGTCTTAGCTGAGACAGATATGGACGATAAGTCGTGAATATATGTAAGAAATAGAAGGGGGCCTAGGATAGTGCCTTGAAGTACTCCACTGGTAATAGGGGATGGTTCTGCAGGGCCTAGGATTACGCTCCGAATGCTCTTTTCGCCGGCAGATACTGCTGCTTTGTGGCTCGAATCGCTTTCGAAGTCATTCACGTATATTAAGGACAAACTGCGTTCCAGTACTGGACCTTGGGCGGCATCGCTCTGTACGACAGCTGTATCTAACTTCTCTTGACCGATTCACCGGACCTGCTGCAAACACACCAGGAAGTTTTTGATCCATTGTAGCAAGTTGCCTCTGATCCCAATTTTTCCCAACTTGTATACAGTCTCTGATGTGGCACAGTGTCAAACGCCTTCTGGAAGTCAATATAGGCGGTGTTAGCATTTATACTCCCCCTATGCCTGTGAAGGTGCCCTTGTCCATTTTTTCTACTTTCATAAAAATTTGCAGTATTGTCTTACGAGCATCTCATTTCCTTTTTCGTCGATTTTAACCACGTGAACCTAATTTTCCATATACTTTTCGGCTTGACGATCTTTTTTCCCGCAAAACTCGCGTTGACGCCCCTCTTGACCATATTTTGACCAACAACTCCAAGCTTTTCTGTGCTAAGAAAAGAGCTTCGTTGTCGGGTTCAGATAATTATGTGTTATTGTGTCTTCCAAGAACTTATTCTACCTCTAAAAGTGCGCTGTTAACAAAAATTGAGAAAACAATTAAGTTTCCTGACACGTACCCGAAAAACATGATCTTTCTTCAGACTTGTATACGTTGCACTCTCCCGATTTCCTTAGTCGATCGAG